GTACCCCTGAGTGAAAACAGCCTGGCGCGGAGTCCGGGGAGCAGGCCTCGTGGCGGGGCCAGGAGAAGGAGCTGGGGCGGGGCCAGGTCAGGTTGGTAATGGCCAAGCAGGATGGCAGCCATGGAGATGGAGTCCGAGTTGCTGCCCACCGACCTGCTCCTCCTTATCTTGTCTTTCCTGGACTAACAGGATCTGATCAATTGTTGATATGTCAGCAGAAGACTTAGCCAACTCTCAATTCATGACCCATTGTGGAGAAGACATTGTAAGAAATACTGGCTGATTTCGGAGGAAGAGAAATCACAGAAGCCTTTTTTCTTATTGACAGAAAAAGATCAGATCAGCATCCCAGGGCTGGTGTGGACAACGCATGGGCAGGATCCAGAGTCCCCTGATACTGAACTGTCATGAAGTGCCTTAACTTCATTGTACCACATGCAGACAACATCCTAGGCGAGAGGACGTGACAACGCAGCGAAGTGTTAGTGTTGTGCACTTTAAAGAACACCCAGTGAAGATGCTTCTTCTCCATCTCATTTGCCACATGGACCCTGAGTCGAGGGAGGCGAGGAAGTATCATCTTTATTTAGTGCAGTACTAAACTCAACTACATTTATTCCTGTTGTTTCTATGAAAGAAACAGAGAACAAATACTGGGTGGAATTAGACTTTCAGGCCCATTTCACTGATGAGAACAGGTACCTCTGCTGGACCATCCTTACCACACTATCTTCCCTGATAAGCTTCCAGAATGTTTTTTCTCTACTTTTCCAGCAATAGTGGGTAGGGTCAGTGCTTGATTTCCCTCACACTTTATACACCTAATGCAAATAGGAGTAATACTATCTGTAGAATCTAATACATACTTTTCTTTAAAACAAAACCAAACACACTTCTCCCCTTTCTTCAACAGATATGTGCTTAGCTAAAGTTGTCTGTGATTTTTTGCTCTGCACTCAGGAGTCACTTCTGGTGGTCTTGTAGTGCCATGTGGGATGCCAGGGATTGAACCCAGATCAGCCATGTGCAAGGGAAGTGCTTTACCTGCCGGACCTTTGCTTCAGCCCTCTTCTGGATTTTCATCTAATGGGGGCGGGCGGGAGTGTCTTCTGTTCTAAAAACTAATTACCAGTGTGGTTTGCCAAAAGCTAACACTGTTCCTGGAACAGTGACCTCTCATCCCTTCGAGTAAACTAAGCAGCATACACTTTCTGACTGGACTGAGAGCTCCCAGATCAAATTCTCACTGTTTGCTTGGGCTCTCCTGTACCATGTTTATCTTTCTTGATGCCTGCACTTAAATTTTCATTTTTCAGGTGTGCTCCCTCTGAGTACCAGCAGTACTTGAGTCCCTACTTAGACAGTGAAATGTGGAAATTATCCTTTGAACAGCCAATTTCCATCTAATTGTCTCTGATTTTTCAGTTTTCCGGGCACATTTGATCTCTGGTTCAGTTTTCAGTAGTCCCCAATGAGGAACTACTGAGGCTCAGATACTGAGTATCTGAGGCACCCCAGTGCATGGTGTGCTCTATATTATTCTTTTTTGGGTCACACCTGGCAATACACAGAGGTTACTCCTGGATCTGCACTCAGGAATTACTCCTGGTGGTGCTCGGGGGACCATATGGGATGCTGGGAATCAAACCCGTGTTGGCTGCGTGCAAGGCAAATGCCCTACCCACTGTGCTGTCCTCCAGCCCCTGTGGTCTATATTCTTGCTCCTGAGTTTTTGCTTATATTCTTATTCACTTTCTTTAATATCAAATCATTTTCTTAAAAACCTAAAGCCACTCAAAAAAAAACCTCTTATATGAATGAAATTACATTATTATTTTTTTTTACTTTACTTGCTCGTCTTCCTTTCAATTTAATTTTCCTTTTATATTATCTGATCTGTCATCTAAGATTTCAACTTTGTATCCAAAAAAAAGTTTTTTTCTGGCTTAATAATATTTAGATGATTTTGTTCTTGTTCTTCTATTCTTCCTATTCTGAGTAAGACGAAAGCACTTTAGAGACTCACGCCAGTTATTTTTTGATTTCCTGAACAAATCTGTTTCCTAGAGACATAAGGTTCTAGGCACAGGAGTAACTGAATTTTTTATCTTTGTTTTAAAAACAATTTAACTGGTTTCTTTAACTTAGCTGTTCTTCAGTTTAAGGACTCAACTCTATTTTGCTTTTTTCCTTTTTTCAATAAAGTTTTATAGGGGTCTCTGCACAGCCAGAGGTTTAGATATCTAAAATCACAGTCAGATATTATATACTTTAGAAATTCAATTTTGGGGCTCAGGGGTGGGAGAATATTCTTTGGTACTTCCTGCATAGACTAGTTTTAAAAAGGGAAAACTAGAACTATAGATTCTATTACTCATATTTCTGCTTTATAAAGAACCCACTTGTAAGAAGTCGTAGAAAATCTCAGTGGTAGAAATATACATGACAAGCTAACCTTGCCTGTTTGAGGCTTTAGGTTCCATTCCTGGCACCACAAAACCAAAACATAAAAGCAAAATAAATGACAGAATTAAGGAAATCACCATTTTAAAACTCCTAAAGAACAAATAAACAAAAAACAGATATAGATAACAAGTGCCAAAGATTGGGGCTGGAGTAATAGCACAGCGGGAAGGGTGTCTGCCTTGCATGTGGCCGGACCTGGGTTTGATTCCCAGCATCCCATATGGTACCCCGAGCATCACCAGGAGTAATTTCTGAGTGCCTCACTGGGTGTGATCCAAAAAGGAAAAAACATAAGTGCCCAAGATGTAAGACTGATGCGAAATGATATGATACACTGTGATATCATTCCTGAATGCACTGGTAAATCCTAGTACTTTGACCTCTCAAAGTGTCACAGAGGATGTTCTATGTCCAATGTCAGGCAACAGGAACTACACAGTTTCTCTGATAGTTTAAACACAATTCTTTAAATTAAAATTTTATAGATTTATAATCTTTTACAAACTACATGAATCGGGGAGTACAGCTTCATTTCTCTGTAGTTGAACAAATTAAAAGAAAACTTCTAAATCTACCAGTTGACAGAAAAAAAATGATGGAAAAACACATAAAATGACACTAAGAGAATACAACCGTGCACATTTCAGTGTCTCTAACAATGGCATCTGACACCCTACCCCAAAGGAGAAGGAATTACAGATGATAAGACCAACCAAATGCATGCATTGACTTCACGTGGAACCTGCTTTTAACAAATCAACTATAAAAAGAAATCTTAAAAAAAAACTATTATTGTGAAACAATTTCAGACTCACAGGAAAATTGCCCAGTGTAAGAATTCTTATATACACAGAGTTTAGGGGTCAAACATAGCTTTGTCTAGATTTACTTGCTTTCTCATTTTCTCTCTCTATAACCTAAATCGTTTTTTGAATAAGTTACAAACAAATCTCCTTTACTCCTAAACTTCTGTGTATCTTCTAAAGACAAGGACCTTTTCATACACAAACACAGTATAACTACTAAGGTCTGGAAATCAACACCAGTTTTACATTTTATAGAGGCTATTCAACTTCTGTCCATTGTCCCATTGATTCTATTATAGCAAACGAAAAATGATTTTTCTTGATCCAGGATTAGATGTAGTGTCTCTTGAGTCTTCTTGAATCTGAAAGAGTATTTCAGTTTATTTTTCAGGACACTAAATTTTGAAAAGTAAAGTTCAATTATTTTATATACTATTCCTCAACATTGGTTTGATTTTTGTCTTCATTATATTCTTTATACAATATAGGGAAAAAACTTTAAAAGTGATTGTTTAGGGGATCTAGGTAACTCAGTGGGCTGGGTGCATCCTGTTTTATTTTGGGTCATTTGCCTTGCATGCGGCTGACCCGGGTTCAATCTCTGGAATCCCATATGGTCCTGTGAGCACCACCAGGAGTTAAACTGGTGCTCAGGGATCACTCTTGGTGGGGTTTGGGAGACCATATAGGGTACTGGGATTGAACATCCAAGGTAAGAGCCTTTCCTCCTGTACTAACTCTCTGGCCTGACTTCAAATTTTCCTGAGGGAGGCCTGGGTTCCACTTAGCACCACACGGCACCTGAGCATCTGAGTAGATCTTTAATAATCTCTGGGCACTGCTGGTGTGGTCAAAACAAAGAAAAAAAATTCACTGCCCATATCAGGAGGCAAACAATATTTATCCTATAAATTTCAAAACTATTAAAGGATTTTGTTTCTGTTTTTGGGTCACACCTGCCCAATCAGGGATCACTGTTGGCTCTGTGCTTGGGAGATATTCCTGCTGTTGTGGTACTGTTTGGGCTGGAGCGATAGCACAGCGGTAGGGAGCTTGCCTTGTGCGCAGCCAGCCTGGCCAAGCCGGGTTCGATTCCTCCGCCCCTCTCTGAGAGCCCGGCAAGCTACCGAGAGTATCTTGTCCACATGGCAAAGCCTGCCAAGCTACCCGTGACGTATTCAATATGCCAAACACAGTTACAACGAGTCTCAAAAAAATGGAGACGTTACTGGGCCCGCTCGAGCAAATCGATGAACAACGGGAGGACAGGTTCAGGTTCAGTCTTCAAAGAAAATTTTATTTGAGACAAAATAAAGAAACTTCATTTATTTATTTTGAAATGAATTTGGGTCGGAGGGTAGTACAGCAGGGAGAGCATTTGCCTTGCATGCGGCTAACCTGGGTTTAATCTCTGGCATCCCATATGGTCCCCTGAGTACCACCAGGAGTTATTCTGAGTGCAGAGCCAGGTGTGACTTAAAAATAAATAAATAAAAAATAAAGAAACACTGTCACTGTCACTGCCACTGTGCTCCTGTTGTTTATCGATTTGCTTGAGCGGGCCCAGTAAATCCATTTTGAGACTTGTTGTTACTGTGTTTGGCCGACTTGGCTTTGATTCCTCCGCCCCTCTCGGAGAGCCTGGCAAGCTACCGAGAGTATCTCACCCGTGTGGCAAAGCCTGGCAAGCTACCCGTGACGTATTCAATGTGCCAAAGAAACATTAGCATAAATTAAAAACATTTAATAATCAGAAGTTGTTTATTTTGTTAGGTATCATAATGGTATTTTGTTTATGCTTTCAAAAAAGGGGTACTTTTCTGTTAGTAATAAATGCATTGCAAGGGAAATAATTTGACTTACTGCCCACTTCTAGGTAGCTTGCTAATTCTCGGCAGAGAGCAGTAATGAAGTAATGAGAGTAGAGTCATATCTTAATTATTCTGAACTAGTGTCTAGTCTACGGTCATACCACCCTGAACGTACTTCTCCTGTGAACTAGTGTCTAATCTATATACTTTATTTGTGCACTATGCAGGTTTTTGACCATTTTCCTTTATTCTGTGGCTCTTCTTTTGGTTACTATGCTCACAACTTACTAATAGTAATACAGAAAGTTCATGTCTGTCAAACTGTGTGCACTGTTGGATAAAAATTCAGTGGGAAAGAGAATGAAACAACTGATTAAATTAGATTTGGAAATAATTGGAATGTTTCATTTCTTTCTGGTCTTCATTTACTCCTTGTTACAGACAATTATGAATCTAATGACATCAGATAATTTACAGTAATTATATAATAAAACTTATGAGCCCCAATATAAAAAGTCCTCATTTTATTTTTCTACTTTATTCTTTAAAATAACATTCACTGTTTAAAAATGTAAACTTCACCGTGAAGTCATCCTTTGTTGATGTTCAAATTTCAACTCTTTCATGTCTATCTGTGGCAATTCTTTTTCCTGTTTTTCTCAAGGGCTCTTAAAGTAGCAACTGGTTCAAAATACTGCTTTGTTTCAGAGCATAGAGTTTAGATGTGTCTTCACTGATGATGGCTATGTTTCCATTCTGTTCTGGGGCTGTCAGATCACTTTCGCTGTCTGAGAGTGTACACAGTAGAGTATCATTCTCATAGGTTGGAAAGTAATACCTGAAAACAACCACGCATCAAGTTAACAAACCTCTGATATAACCCTTTTGCATAGTCATACTTTATTCATCTGATAGGAAACAACTGTTTCTTCCTGTGTTTTTATTTTTTCCAAACTAATCATAAGAATTCCTTTATTCTAGGTGGCCAGAAAATAATATATCTATAACATTTTAAGTCTGTTTTGCTGGAACTTGTTCTCATACTAAGTTCCTCCCCACACAGGAGTTCCTTTATTTTTTCTCTTCTACTTTCCAAAAAACTGGCCTACTTTCTAAAGAGAGAGAGAAAAAATAAAAAAGGAATGGGGCTGTAGTGATGATTGTAGGGGCAGGTAGACACCTTGTCTTATGTGCAGCTGACCAGGATGTGATCTCTCAATCCCATTTGGTTCCCCTGAGCACTGCCAGAACTGGTTCCTTGAGCACTAAGCTTGGAGCAACCCTTGAGCATCACCAGGTGTGGGGGTCTCCACCTCCAAAAAATCTGTTTTGCTGATTCCTTCCCTCAATACACTTTGAAATTAGTTCTGAGTACATCTAAGGATTTCATTCTAAATAAAAATTATAGGAATTATAACAGCTTGTATGCTTCATTCTTGAGACACCCAGATGTGCTCAGGGCTGACTACTGGCTCTGTGCTCAGGGGTTGCTACTTGCAGTGCTCAGGAGATTGGGGATCAAACCTGGGTCTACTGCATGCAAGGGAAGAGTCCTACCTGCTATATTTACTCTGCTTCCAAGTCTAGAAGCTTTTAAAGAGGAATAATTGAAGCTTTTTTGGCTTGGGCACGGGCAGGCCCTAATTTAATATTTCCTGAGAGCTGGAGCCCCACAGCCTCTCAGAAGTTCCCTCATTAGCTCACAGGCTGGATGGGATCTCTGGAATCTGACAGCATCTCTTCGCTGCTACATGCCAGCTGATCAGCTGCAGGGATGTGTCTCTGTGGCAGAGTGCATGCCATACATGTAAGATTCTCAACATTATAAAAAAAAATGTCCACCAAAAACTAACACTGGGGCCTCAGGAGAGCTCAATGGGAGAGCATGCAGGTCTGAGACTGGCCCACACAGGCGCGGGGTCCTGGTGGCACTGCAAGAAGCAAGGGTGTGAGTACCACAGTCAACTCTGGGAGACTTCCAGTCACTTGCATCACAACTGCCTCTAAGGGAAGGGGGAAAGATAAAGGGACAAGGGACAAAGCACATACCGAATGTCCTAGGCTTACACAAAGGACACAGTAATTTCATTTCTACTTTATCTAAAGAAAACAATTCAGTAAGTATGCAAATACAGAGGCAGGTGAATATATATATTATATCACTATTTATAAGAGGGAGAAAAGCAAAGTTCAACCTAAATACTTAAGAATTAGGATATGATCGTATGATGGGATACTGGAAATGTGGATATTTATTAACAGTATATTAGACGTGTATTAGATAACAGAAAGGTGCTTATAATATTAAAAAAAGTAGAATTAAAAAAAATCTTTAGTTCTGGAGCTGGGGATGTAGTTCAATAGTTAAAGCATATACCTGCATGAATGAGGCCCGGAGTTTAATCCCCAGCACCAGACAAACAACACACATACACCATTAAAAACTCAAACTAGATAGTTTTCTATAAATCTATCTCTATTCCCAACATCACAAAATATGAAATAGTAATATTTGTAAGAGGAGGATTACTTTAAAAAATAATATATATATATATATTTTAAGAATTCTTCTTTCCAGGGGCTGGAGCAATAGTATAGCAGGTAGGGTGTTTGCCTCGTACGCGGCTGATCCAGGTTCAATTTCCAGCATCCCATATGGTACTTACTGCGGTTGGTCCCAGATCTTTCTTTCGGGAAGCAGTGTGGTGTGTTTGGCGGCTTCCATGTGAGTCCTTAAATCAGTTTTGGACTTAAACTTCTCATGGCAACCATAACATCTACATTGGTGAATCTGCCTTCGAATAAAATTTACCAATTTCACTTGCTGATAGAAATTTAAGCCTAAAAATATGGCAGAATAAGGAATCATTAGGCAACTGGTCAGACTTACTTTTGCACTGTTAAATATTGTTAAAAATTCACTTTATGAACCAATCCAAAAAGTACAGTAATCAAGTATGTTGAAGCATGCCAAATAATTATAGTTGATACTTACACAGTAGCATGGTTAGTCAGGAATTATGTGATGGCACTGATCTAATATTTTCTTTTTGCTTTTTGGGTGATGCTCAGGGATCACTATAGGAGGGACTTGGGGGACCATATACAGTGCTAGGGATTGAACCCTGGCCAGCTGCAAATAAGGAAAGCATCTTAACCCCTACACTATCTCTCTAGACCCTAATTATTTTCTCTTTCTCAATACATTTAGTCCTTGCAAAAACCTATAACATAGGTATTTCATCTCTCTCTCTCTCTCTCTCTCTCTCTCTCTCTCTGTCTCTCTCTCTTTGTGTTTTGGGAGGCCTTCCCAGTTGTGCTGGGGATGACTAGGGCTATACCATATTGTACCAGAGACTGAACCTGGGACCCTATGTATGCCAGGCTGTGTTCCAGCCATCTGACAAGGCAGTTCTATCTTATCTACATTATGTATTAGGAAACAGTTCAAGGATGCACACTGAAAAGTGTAGAACCAGGGTCTAACACCAGGCAATGGCTATAGAGCACAAGATCTTGTCAACTAAGTAACTATGCACCATAATGCGCAAGCGCGTGCACACACACACACGTGCACATACACACGCGCACACACACACACACACACACACACACACACACACATTTACAGCATCAGTAAAGTGAACAAAGGGTTGGGAAATCAATTTTTACTGTCTTGGATCCATTAGCTCACCAGCACTAAACGTCTTGATGCCCTAATCTTTGTAGTGTAGTAGTACTCAGAATGATATGATTGAGTACATCTTTAGGGAATACTCTTGCTGGAATGCCAAATAGTGCAGGTGTTTTTCCATACCATATCTGCTCTGTGTAGCGTTCTGATGACCAATATCACATAGCTACTAAGTGCTGAAGCTGGAAATGAATTCCGACCTCAAAACCCATACTCTTCCAATTAGCTCCTACCACTTTAAAATAGATATTATTCAGTTGTAACTTATCTAAGAAATTCATTTAAACAGCAAAGAGGAAGAAAGATGATCTAACATTTTTTAAAAAAAAACTTATTTGAATATTACACTTCAAAATGGTCACAAATTACTGCTTCCGCCAATTCTGATAAGACCATCTGTGGTGAAACACATTTTGGTTGACTCCCCAATCACAACTGCAGAACATGAGCATCATTTACAGGACCGTGTATAAAACACACCATGGAAAACAACTGAATCAAACTTACCAAGTTCTGACTTAATTTTGAGGAGATCAAATTCATGTGCATCCTATAAAAAGGAATGAAGGTATCTCTGAGCATATAAATGATTTAATGTTTCATGCTGAAGATATAATCAGTTTTTACTCACAGAAGTTTGAACACTGTAGAAACTCAGTTCAGACTTTCCTGCTTTGGAAGTCCTCAAGATCTACTCCCCACATTGAACTGCTTTTTATTTTTGTGGCTACATCATACCTCGCTGTGCTCAGGCTTCACTCCTAGAAGGACTTGGGAGACTGTATGTGGTTCTAGGGATAGAAGCCAGCACAGCTGCTGTGCAAAGCAAGTGTCGTATCCTACCTACTTGCTGGAATCTCTCTGGCCCCTCAAGTGCTTCTAAAAGCACAGTCCAATAGAAAGATTACATTCATCTGGTGAACATAAAGTAACAAAATAGGAGAATAACACCCAAGAATGGCCGAGATTAGTACCAGGAATTTTACTCCATGGCTTGGAGGCCAGCCACACATGCTAGGGAAAAGGGCAGCTCAGATAGAGAAGGGAGCACCAAATAAAGGGTGCTGGGAGGATCCTCCCAGGATGGGAGAAGCATGCTGAAAGTAGATTATAGACCAAATATGATTGTCACCCATTGCCTCTTTTGCAAACCACAACACCCAATAAAAGAGAGAACAAAAGGGAAAGCCCTGCCATAGAGGCAGGGTGGGATGGGGGGATGGGAGGTGGGAGGGATACTGGGATCCGTGGTGGTGGGAAATGGGCACTGGTGGAGGGATGGGTATTTGATCATTGTATAATTGAAACCCAAGTACAAAAATTTGTAAGTCTACAACTGTACCTCATGATGTCTCACTAATAAAAATTAAAAAAAAAAATCTCAGGGCTGGGAGGAACAGAGACATTACTGGCACCCCCTCCCCCCACAAAAAATAAAAGCACAGTCCAAAGAAGTCATGATAATTACTTTAAGACAGCTGACATTTTAATTGACAATAAGATATTTTAATTATTCGTAGCTTGTAGATAGAGTTTTTACCATTGACTACAGAGGCACTAAGCAATCTGACAGAGGCATCCACCCACTCTACATAAGTGTGGCCCTATTGTATTGTGCATCTGAAAAAGATGATTGACAATGACTCTTTGTTCCACAGGATGATAACAAATGCTGCTCTTCATTTTAGGATGTCAGATGTGCACTTCAGGGCCAGAGAGACAGTACAAGGATTAAGACACATGCCTTTCTTGTGACTGACTCCAGTTCAATTCCAGGTACTGCATATGGTCCCTGGAGCAATTACCAATTACTAGGAGTGACCCCTGTGAATGGAGCTGGGAGTAAGCCCTGAGTACAGTTGAGTGTGGCTACCTAAAACAAAACAAAAAGCAAAATACACTGCTTAATTCTAGAAGTTTTTCTTCTTTCATATCTTTCCATAAATTTCTTTTGCTATTTAGAATTCAGAGACTTATCTTTTTTTAAGTCCTATTCTTATAACCATCCAACTAGATAAATGTTTCAAGTTATATTAAAACAGAGAAAGCAGAGCAAGAAGAGCATCTGACTCCTGTGAAGGCATTTAGTATCGAGGCAGGCCACTTAGGAATTCTTGCTAGTAACAGATTATCATACAAAGTGACTGAGCAGAGGTTGAGGACACTGCAAAGTGGACCCCTGTATAGGATCTCTGTTCCTTTCAATGAAATATATATTACAGTATTGTATATTAAACTTAAATACTGAAAACTATACATCTGCACTGGTGGCAATGTGTCTGAGTAGTAGATGATCATTATAAGAATAAATGCTCATGGCCTTTCCAATATTATGCATCTCCTTATTTTATTGAAGAACAGTATAGCTGAATGATAGTGAAGTGAAGGTGGACGAAGAGGAGAATAGTTTTATGTAGGCAGTGGTGGATGGCAGGAGGGTAGGGATAATCAAAATTCCAACTTGTATTTTTCGATTATAATCAGTCCTTTACCTAAAGCTATGACAGTATCAATCCCTAATCTTCTGTTTCTCTATCCCCCAAATAGCGTGTCATCTCTCACATATATTTACCTAAGGCTTAGTGCTATGAAGAGCTCTATGCAAAGCTGAAAGACTAAACTCACTGCCATCTCGACCCACATTCTTCCTCGAATTTTGTCAATGGTAACTTTCTTCTTCCTTGACCTCCTTATTCATCAGCATAGGAAGTATGAAAAAAAAAAAGACTTAGAGCCTGTCTATATCCTGGACACTGTTAGTTGTGGTAAAGGTCTTACATTCTAGTTTAGAAGGATCTCTGAGGCATCTCAAAGGTGTCAGTGATTTGTGAAATTTGGCTCTAATAGCTTTATGCAGATCTGGTTAATTGTCTGAACTAAGTCACCTAATGTTCTGGTTCTTCTTGATGGAACTGGCCAGTTGCTTTTGTCTAAACATTTTCATCCTCCTTTTTCCTTTGGTATTGGAGCGATAGCACAGCGGGTAGGGCGTTCGCCTTACAAGCGGCCAACATGGCCGACCCAAGTTCGATTCCTCCGCCCCTCTCGGAGAGCCCGGCAAGCTACCGAGAGTATTCGATATGCCAGACACAGTAACAACAAAGTCTCCGATGGAGACGTTACTGGGCCCGCTCGAGCAAATCGACGATCAACGGGAGGGCCTTTACCTTTACCTTTATTGTTGTAATGACCAGAGGTTGCACACATACTCGGTCATGGTACTCACTGGAGGTTTGCATTCCTTTTAAAATTTTTAAAAAATTTTTATTAGTGAAACACCATGAGGTACATTTTAAATTTTTTAAAAAATTAATTACTTGGTTTATTTTTTGCTATTGGGCTACAACTGGTGGTGCCCAGTGGATCAGTGTTAGGGAATGAACTGTGCTTAGCCACATGCAAGGCAAGCATCTCAACTCCTGTACCATCTCTCTGGCCACAGCTGTAGTTACATTCTTTAGTTCTCATTGCATGTGGAGGGCAGTGCTCAGGGGACCATATGGGATGCTGGGGATTGAACTGGAAGCTTTACCCTTGCAAGGCTTTATTTAGCCTATTGAGTCATTCCTGGGCCCCTCTGGGTAGCTCTCTGTCTCTGTCTCTCTTTCTTTCCTCTTTCCTCTCTCCTCTCCCCTTCCCTCCCCTCCCCTCCCCTCCCCTCCCCTCCCCTCCCCTCCCCTCCCCTCCCCTCCCCTCCGGCTTTTGAACCACATCCGGCTGTGCTTAGGGTTTACTATGTTTCTGCACTCAGGGATCACTCCTGGCAGGCTAGGGGTACCCATAGAGGGTGCTGAGGACTGAACCTCATTGGCTGCATGCAAGGCAAATGCCCTGTCTGTTGTATTATTGCTCCAGCCCCTTCTTTTCTTTTTAACAAAAATTTTGTTTTGTTCTGTGGCCACACCCAGCAGTACTCAGGGGTTGTTTCTGGCTCTGTGCTCAGAAGTGGCTCCTGGAAGTGCTTGGGGGAATCATTATGTTGGTGCTGGGGATTTGGGTAGGGGTCAGCTGCATGCGAAGTAAGTTCTTTCACCCCTGTATTCTTTTTTTTTTTCTTTTCCTTTTTTGGGTCACACCCAGCAATGCTCAGGGGTTACTCCTGACTTTGCACTCAGGAATTACTCCTGGCAGTGCTCAGGGGACCATATGGGATGCTGGGGATCGAACCTGGGTCGGCTTCATGCAAGGCAAAAGCCCGACCCGCTGTGCTATAGCTCCAGCCCCACACCCCTGTATTCTTCCACTCCTAGGAGCCCTTTAGGAATAGGAAAATAACTGAGAAACTAAAATTATTAGGCGATGACCTAAGGGACCAGAAGCAGGGGATCAGCATCTCCTTGTGAGCATAAGACAAAATTCAAACGGACGCAAGTGTCTCACCTCCATGTGGACAGATAATTTCTCAATTGTTTCTGCATGCTTTTCACAAAACAGGCAGACAGCAGAGACAGGGTGTTCTTCCCAGTCAGACCAATCCCTGCACGGAAGAAAAAAATAGTCTGGAGACTGCATTCATCCGGAGGGTGCACTACATCTTGCTGCAGTAGGACTTTCTTTTCCCCAGAAATCCTGCCAGTCTGTGCCATTTTGTGACTGTCACATTGTAGCACGACTTTCTGATACACTTTTTGAAATTCAAAGCAGTACCAGGAAATGAATATCAACTGTGCACAGGCGTTGCTGCATGTTCTCGATTTGCCTCTGTTCGGAGCAGCCAGTTCACTCCGGAAGCTGCCCGATGTCGGTCGGAGACGGCGAGGTTTAATTGGCGAAGGAGGCTGCCAGGATGTGTGCTGTGCACTCTCATTAAGCACAGCCACCGAGTCTACGTGCTGTGAGGGGTGATGCTGGGATGTGTTTCGGCATGACAAATGGTGTATTTTAAGAAGACAGAGCCATTTCTTTCATGCAGAAAACACTGATCACTTTAAACAGGGCAAATGTTACATCTGGTGGTAGACAGAGAACTCAGTAAAGCAGACAGGGCCCTTTAAAAAAAACTATTCTATTAAAAAATAACTTTCTTACCAACTTAACTTTTTTTTTGGGGGGGGTGATACTACTAACTTTCTAAAGTGTCATTCCTAAACCAGGGAAAAATCAAAATTCCTGAGGGGGAAAAAAAGGCTGTATAGATTTGGATGAAAAAAGGATGAATAACACAGAAATCTTAGGTTAAAAAGGATTACTTCTTTAGTCTTATAATTTCAAGGAAAGAAACTATGAATGTTTTAAGTTAGTCATCAATGGGATGAACACAGAACAAGGCCAAATGACTCAGTTCTAATCTCTACTCCAATGATAGGGTTCAAAGATCAAATATCACTTCTAGGCCTTACAAACAAGGGAGCAAGCAGACCACTTCAGATTGTATTTTTCTGTTTTTGTTTTGTTTTCTCTCCCCCTCCCAAATGCAAGTGCCAAGACTGTATTTTTCTCTGAATTATAAACTGCCTGTATGTTCAATGGCTTTAATGACAAAAGGCTATTTAGCTGGACTCACAATTGCTATAGTGATTTTTATGTCAACTTATTCTGACCTTGAGTTTTTGCGCTGTTATATGAAAGGGTACACGGCTTAGAGAGAAGATCTCTTCCTTTTTATTCTATGTCTTCCTATTTTAAGAAGCCTTTTCTTAAAGGGCTGTTTTTCTGTTCTTAAAACACTGTAATTAATTAGCAGTCATCACAAATCTTACTCTTCCTGATGGTCTAGCAACTCCCGATCATCTTCCAATTGAACTTCTTCCCACGATTTTCCAAGTTCCTTTAGGAAGGAAGAATAGATAAATTAGAGAAACGGAGGGTGGGAGTGGGGTGGAGAGTTGAAGAGAAAGAGAAATTAGAGAAACTGAAAGTGTATACAAACAAGTCAAAAATCCACATGGCGGGGAGCGGCGGAGCAATGGTACAGCGTTAGGGCATTTGTCTTGCACGTGACCGACATGGGCTCAATCCCCGGCAACCCAAAAGGTCCTCCGAGAACCACCAGAGTAATTCCTGAGTGTAGAGCCAGGAGTAACCGCTGAGCATCACCGGGTGTGACTCCAAAAGCCAAAAAGTAAAAAAAAAAAAAAAAAAAAAAATCCACGCTCAACCGGTTTTAAACAATACCTGTAGGATGGCTCTAAATAGTTCTTTTTGTTTAGAAAAGCAGCAAAACCCTTTACATAAAATTCTTTTAAATGTCAACCAGCTTTTCTCAATTCTAGATTCACATTAGAATTTCTTGGGAATTCTTTTTCTTTTAACAACCAGCAATTTTTTAGGGACCCCCAACACATCCTCCTAGCTAGACTGATTCCACTCAAGTTCCCCTACAGATATTAGCCATGTTATTCTTTCTCCATGGCAGAGCCTGGCAAGCTTCCCGTGGCATATTCGATATGGCAAAAATAGTAACAACAAGTCTCACAATGGAGACATTACCGGTGCCTGCTCGAGCAAATCGATGAACAACGGGAGGACAGTGCTACAGTGCAGTGCTACTCTTTCTCCAGGACACTTCCCTGTTTGAGTCCTGCCACAGTTTTGAAGCACACAGGGCTTTCAGATGGCATCTGGGCTCCACCCCAGCTTCCTCTCCTTCCCTTATGTCCAGCCTTGTCTCTAGCACAGTTAGCTCCAAGCAGATCCTCTCTGGATTTCCTCCAAACGTAGCAAATTCACTTCTCCCAACTACTTTTGCACTTTATCATCTACTCTAACACTGCTTCCCCATATATAGCCATGCCTGGTTCTGGTCTTTGCTTAAATGTTACCACTCTTTCCCAGTTTACTTTGACCGAAATAACAACCACCGTTTCCAAGTTAGTTTTGCCGTTTCTAAGGTCATTTTATTTTTTTCTTCAAAGTATAGATCACCTACAAGTAACTTCTTATATCTATTTTCTTCTTTGCTAGCTATCTACTCCATTGTGATGTTTGTGAGAACAGGGGTTTTGTTCATTGTCACTGTTCCTGGGTACTAGAAAGTGTTTTTTTTGGTTTGTTTGTTTGTTTTGTTTCTATTCTTTTGTAGCAGTGTCTGGGTGTGGGGTGCTCCCAAGAGGTGCTCGGGGGCGCAGTGCCCCACTCTTGGCAATATTGGGCCTGGGGATGTGGGCCTGATGGTTCAGTGCTTAGGCCCAGTGATGCAGTATTGCCTGGGGGCTTGTGGTGGTTTGGGAACTCCAGTGCTTGACTCAGTGGGGCTTAGAGGTTCATGTGGTGCCAGTGACAGAAATCAGGCCACATCACACTCCAACATGTCTCTTGAGTGATGTCCTTAGTCCAAAGGTATTAGAAAGTAGTTCCTGAGCTGCACTGTAATGGAAAAAGCCTAAAAACTGGGGATGGAGAGATTGTACAGTGGGAGAACTGCTTGTCTTGCACACAGCCAATGGGGCCTACCAGGAGTGATCAGGCGTAAGTCCAAAGCATCGCTGGATATGGTCCTACAATTTTTTTTCCCTTTTTGAATTGTAATAGAAAGTCTAATGTCTAACAATTTGAGGCTGGAGAGTTACTACAGTGAGTACGGTACTTTCCTTGTGTGTGGCTAACCTAGGTTCAATTCCTGGCACCCTATATGGTTCCCAGAGCCCAGCCAGGAGTGATCCCTGGGCACCACCATATGTGGCTACCAAAAAACAAACTGAAATCTAAAAATCTGATTTTGTAAGGTAATTAAACAAATATAAAGCACCTGGTATCACACAACGAAGGTACTCAAACATCTCAAATCCCCCGTATCTCTCTGACAGTTCATGGAGAGGTTCCACTCTTTTAGAGTGATATGTGGAAAATTTCATAGTTTCAGCAAAACTTCATAAAATGACAGATCGGGAATTTCTTTTGGCCCAACTGTTTCTCTTTTTTTCCTTGAGCCATTTGTTTCTCTCTTTTCTCCTTTCTTCTCTCTGCACTCAATTTTCCTACTGTATAAACTGTCTATGAAAAGCAAACTGTCTATGAAAGAACAATGTAGAACATGAACAGGACTGTTTTAAGAGGTCAATCTTTAGTTTTGTGGCAAGGTTCAACCTGACCTGTTACACACAGATATCTTTGTTCAGAGGTCTTCTTCGGGAAGAACATCTCTAAAATTCAGGGGCTAGAGAGAAAATTCAATGGACTGAGCACATACTTTGCCGGGAGGTACCTGTGTTTGATCCCTGACACAGCCTGGTTCCCCAAGTACCACAGGGAGAAACACCTGTGCACAGGAGGGAGCCCCTGAGCACTGCTAGTGTGGCCCCAGACTCAAAAACCAATAAAGAAAAAATGTACTCTCAGTTATGAACAATATGTATTTTTTAACAAAAACAGTATCTATTTAAGTAAAACCAAAGAATGCCGAATTGCATCGTCATGGGGGGGGGGGGGGGAGGGAATCTATCATTTATCAATTTAATGAGATAATGAGAGGTTTTGAAGTTGTCATTATCTGTCAGCTAAATGAATAAATTTAAACATGCAGAGATTTGCCATAACATCTTTAGAGAGAGTTAATTTGGACTCTATAACATACTTCCCAGAGTTATCATGAAATTTACAAAGCTTATTAGTGGCCAAGAATGACCTCCGTACTACCAACAGGATCCTTGTGAGCTAAAATTTCTGGTGGTGAATGAAACTTTTTCTGCATTGGAGTGATAGCACAGTGGGTAGGGTGTTTGCCTTGTACACGGCCAACTTGGCTGATCTGAGTACAATTCCTCCACCCCCTCGGAGAGCCTGGCAAGTTACGAGAGTATCTCGCCCCCACGGCAAAGCCTGTCAAGCTCTCCATGACATATTCGATATGCCAAACAGTTAACAAGTCTCACAATGGAGACGTTACTGGGCCCGCTTGAGCAAATTGATGAACAACGGGAGGACAGTGCTACAGTGCTACAGTGATTGATCTCTGCCAACTGAGTCTTAGGATCCTTACTGTGAGAGAGTACTCAATAAAGAGGCATGACTGACATTATCATTCTCATTGATATGGAAAAATGTTGTTTATCAATAAGTGTTCTAAGATAAAAAGTGACAAAAATATCTTTCATTGGCAAAACTTTCAAATACAAAGTATTATTTTGCAACTTTTTCAGTGTTCAGTAACAATATGGAGGGGTTTATCTAGGCAGCACTATTTGCTACTTAAGAGGAACATGGAATTCTTTGCTCATTAACATTTTAGGAAACAAATGATTTGCATGTGACAGTGGCCCAGCTTCCCGGAATACTCTGCCTTGTACAGTTAAATTTGTGATTTATTACAAGAGAAAAAAAACCCTACATAATTCTCTAATTAAGACACTGTGCCTACTCATGAATCATGTCAGGAAAGAATACAAGAAAAACAAAGTTTGGAAAACATGTCAGTAAAGATGTTCAAAACACCCCCTCAAACCCCTGCATCAGATGGTTTATGATCAATGATAGGGAAAAATATGAGGAATACGGGCTGGAGCGATAGTACAGAGGGTAGGGCGTTTGCCTTGCATGCGGTTAACCTGGTATCCATCCCTGGCATCCCATATGGTCCCCTGAGTGCAGAGTCAGGAACAACCCTGAACACCTCGGGGTTTGTCCACAATACAAAAACAATAACAAAAACCCATGGGGAATAAAAGGACCCCCTTCATGCTTCCTTTCTAAAACACACACTCAAATGTGCTCACACACATATTCTCTCTCCCTATCTTTCCCTTTCTCATTGTTAGAAATGTTTTTTTACTGCTTATTTTATTTTATTTTTTTTGGGGGGGGGGAGTAACATTCTGTAATGCTCAGGAATTACTCCTGGTTTTGTGCTTGCGGTGTGTGTGTGTGTGGGGGGGGGGGTCACTCCCAATGGTGCTTTTTGGACCACATAGTGCTGTGGCTTGACCCTTGGCTTTCTGCATGGAAAACACGCACTCAGTTCACTGAGCTCTCTCTCTAGAAAGTTTAATTACAAATGATTTCATCAACTCTAACAAAACAATGACATAACCGGGTATGAGTCTTAGTTACAAATGGTTTTGTATATTTTAAGAATAAAAATTCAGGGGATGGAGTGTGGTACAGCAGGTAGGGGATAGTACAGCAGGGAAGGTGTTGGCTTTGCATGTGACTGATCCAGGTTCAATCCCAGCATCCCAGATGGCCCCCCAGCACCACCAGGAATAGTTCCTGACTACAGCGCCAGGAGTAACCCCTGAACATTGCCAGGTGTGGCCCAGAAACAACTACAAACAAAAAATTCAAATCAAAGAATGTTGAAACCACTGAGAAAATAATTTGCTTTAGAAAACCTCTGAAGCATGTACAAGTGATGCAGGAATTATGGGTAAAGACTTGCTAACGAAAGAGTAGTCTGTTGCCCTCTGAGGTAGGAATATCTGATGCATGCTGCCTGGGCCATTAAGCATCACCACTATCCATGGGAGCCTTCTGCTGATGAGGAAATGAAACAAAAAAGTTCCTAACCTAAACTATGCTAAGGCCTTTTCCTATAGTTCCAAATCTGTTATTAGTCAAAAACTTTTATGGAATTATTAAAAGTGGAAACCTTCTTGGCTAAGAAGGAAAAAGAAACATCAATTTACTGATTTCAGAAGAAAGCTAAAATTAGCTAGTGTGGCTTCTCTGTTTTCTGTCTTTTTTTTTTTTTGGAGGGGGGTGAAACTTTTGCCTCTCCCACCTTTTATATTAGAGTGCATCAAGCCAGAAGTATACTTGATGCTTCCATGACTGCTGGGTTGGAGATTCTGTTTGAAATAGATCTGAGGCACTCTGAGTGCATGATTCAATTACTGCGTACATTTTCTACAGGAGAGGTCAAAACATTAACTTTATATAAACCACTAATGGATGCTGAAATTAAAGTGCTGGCTGGCATGTCTCTCCTACCAACCGACCCCTCAACTCTCTGAGAGCAGTGCCTCAAATCAACCACCTGTCTGTCATAACTTTCTTTCTGTTCTACCAGTGTCAGGTACCTGGGAGGTATACAAATGTTTGAGAATATAGAAAGCCAATGTGATCACTTCTGCAGGGAAGAGGAAGTGAGAAATGAATATACAGGCACTGGATACTAAACAAATCCTGCTATCTTTGTAGATCTTCATGTACTACTGTTAGCTTTTTTTTTCCCTCACAGGAATAAATAGTGACTTGATCTCACTGTTCTTTTTTATTGCCTTTTAAAAAATAAAGGTATGTTATAAATAGCATATCAATACATTTTGATTAAGTAAGCTTTTAAGAGAATTTATTCTTTGTCTTAAATATTTTTCATTAGTGACATCTAAAAGAAAACTAAAATGATGATTAGATAGCTCTGATCTCACGGTTCTCCAACTGTACACTATGAGCATTTGGAACCGTCTTTGATACACCCATTAGATCTTTTATTTACATTTTAATCTGGAATGTTTTAAGGTTGATACCAGTCACAGGCATTCTGCTAGTTTAGGACAGTTACAATTCTGTCTTCAGAGACAGGTTTTTAGATGATTTAAAAATCTTTTGGCATCTTCAATCCTTTCAAAGGCAAATTTACATTTTCAAACTACCAGGGGTATCATAACACATTTTAGGATTAAAACAACACATGCTCTTGTTGCAGGCTATTTGCCTCAGCAGAAAGCATGCAGAGGTGAGTGGGTGGGATGAGTTAATTCTTGTGGATCAGAACCCTGAAGGAGCTGATCAATAGCAGCTTTACTTAGACCTTGATACACCTTGTAGCTTGTTACAAGACAGCAGAGGCAACAGCGGGTGGATGGACCATTATGAATTCATCACTACTAGACCAAAAAGCACAAACCAAAATATAAGAGGTAGTTATGTATTATACTAATACTATTTTAAATGCTAGAACCTGAAGAAAAAAGGAAGGTAATGATGAGATTAAGTAATTTAATTAAATTATTCTAGGCATGTGACTTTGGCCTCAACCCTTCAATGCCCTTGCTTCTTAACCTATAGGATGGGATAACAATAATATGTGTGGAGTTGGTTTGGAAGCCTGCCTCATGTACTGGGGAAGAAGGCAGTTGGGATGGAGAATGGACCACTAAGTCAAGGATGGTTGACGGGATCGCTCTGTATGGGAGATGTGTGCTGATAGTAGACTAAGGATCAAACATGATAGCCTCTCATTATTTGTATCGCAAACCATGATGCCAAAAAGTAGAGAGAGAGTAAGAAGGAAGGTGCCTGCCACAGAGGCAGGGGATGGGATGGGGTGAGGGTGGTGGGTGGGATACTGGGAACATTGGTGGTGAAAAATGCGCACTGGTGAGCAATGGGTGTTCAATCATTATATGACTGAAACTCAATCATGAAAGCTTGGGACTATATGAGATGCTGGGGATCAAACCCAAGTTGGCTGGGTGCAAGGCAAATGCCCTACTCACTGTACTATGGCTCTGACCCATAAACTGATTTAATCTTTATCTTACATATCATTCCTTCAATTAATTCCCTTGAAGTTCTTCTCTCTCGTCCTAATTCATGCCATGTAAAATGTGGGCACTCCATGGGTAGATAATCTAGCAAGCTCATCTAGAAACGCCTGGCCCTCACAGTAATTTCAGTTATCCCTTGGTGGCCAGGGACTTGAGTATTACCCTGCTTTTTCAGGAGTGCCTGCAGATCTGAGAAGTACCTTTGAAGGCTCCTGCAAGAGGCAAACACCTTCAGCTATATAATCTTCCACTGGCCCCCAGCTCTTGAATATTGTTTTAAAGAGCCCCAGAGGAAGTACAATTAAATTGCTTCCACATTTCTTCAGGACTGAATCTTTCTTAGGGCTAAAACTGAAGTGCACTCCCTATTGGAGTGAATTGGGCCTGGAAGCAGCAATTGCTCTAGGAATTAATGGCAGAGTGATTTCCAGAGAAGACTGAAGAACTCAGAGGGAGCCTTTGCCCTTAGCTAGTTGTAAAACATTTGTAGTAAACCATGGCAACCTCTCGAAGTCAATCTTCAAACATATGCTAAACTTGCTTCTCAAGGGGAATTTTATTTTAACACTGTAAGGATTAGCTATAACAGACAAAAATTCACCCTAGAAGAGAAACTTCTGACATAATGTAGGATGTACTTGTTCCTGTGCAAAAGATATAATGATTAATTATATTCAGTTAGACTTATGTAGTCAATGGGGTTTGGTTCTAATTCACTCATATTGAGATAAAAAAAAGATTTTATTTGTTTAAGAAAAGTATTTTTAAAAACAGAATTCCCACCTACTAGTCCTTCTGGGGAGTTATACAACTCATTTCCTTTTAGTTTTGTAGGGGTGGTCTCAGACACACCCAGTGTGTTCCGGAGTAACCCCTGGCAATAGTACTCAGGGTACCTGAGTTCTGTAGATTAAAATGGATTTGGTAGAGCGCAAAGCAAGCATCTTAATCCCTGTATTGTCTTTCTCTGGTCAGCAACCTTTTTTTTTTTTAAAAACACACACACACACACACACACACACACACACACACACACGTACTTTTCATTCTTTGTAGAATAAGGACAGGGCCAAAAGCAATCTCTAGTCACTGCGTCATTCAAAAATCCACTCTCTGGGACCAGAGCAACAATACAGTGGGTAGGGCTTTTGTCTTCTATCTGGTGGATCTAAGGTTCAAACCCTGGCACCCTAAATGGTCCCCTGAGCATGGCCAGGACAGATCCCTGAGTGCAGAGCTAGGAGTAAGCCCTGAGTACTGCCGTGTATGACCCTCCTCTATAGCCCCCTCCCTCCCCAATTCCCTCTTAAATTTCCAAATGCCTCCTAGGTGACATCTGCCTTTAGCTCAAGACCTCTTTTAATGAAGGAAAAAAAAAAGATAAAACAACAACAACAACAACAACAAAACAAAACAAAACAAAAAAAAACAAACAAACCTGATCTTCAGAGACCAGCAAGTGGTATTGAGGTTTCTGGGTAAAAAGGGCATTCAATATCCTTAAAATTCTTGACATGGTAAACCCATCATTCAAGTCTACTTTCCAAACAAACAAAAGACCTCTTGCCTAGTAAAAGGATTTAGTTTCTCTTAAATTAGGATTAAAAATAAGCTGACCCAAAAACTGAGAACTGGTCTTCAGTAGGAAGCATACCACTGTAGGGGAGATGGAGACGGGAGCAGAATGAAGGGTGGGGCCCTGGGACGGTTGGGGGCGGGGGGAGAGCAGGCACTTTGGTGGAGGGTATAGTGCTGGAATCTTCTATGCATGAAACACTACCATGAATGGCTCTGTAAACCATGGTCCCTAAAATAATATAATAAAAAGAAAAAAAAGAATTTTATATAGTATAAATTTAATAGTAAGAAATACAGAACTTTGTCTTTTTTTATTTTTAGGATTGTTGTAATCTGAAAAAATTCTTAGAAAGTGTTACTAAAATAACACTAATTTTTTTTGGTTTATGATTACGAAGTCACATAGTTATTTTTTTCTTACATAAATCAACAGATAAAATAATTCAGTATGTTATGATAGTAGCTAGCCAAGTTTTAGGAGTTTATTTTTTATTTTCTATAATTTGTATTTTTATTTATTAGACTGCTAAATAAGAATATTTTATTTTAATTATAAAATCTTAAGAAAAATAAGCTGATCTATGAAAATAATAAAGATTTTGTGGGAAGGATAAGTTTTTTTCTCTTTTTGGGTCACACCCAGTGATGACAGGGGTTATTCCTGGCTCATGCACTCAGAAATTACTCCTGGTGGTGCTTGGGGGACCATATGGAATGCTGGGAATCGAACATGGGCTGGCCATGTGCAAGGCAAACACCCTCCCCACTGTGCTATCGCTCTAGCCCCAGATTTTTTTTTTTAATGGAAGCAAGGTAAAGGTGAAAAAGTAGATTTTAAAGAATTATTTAGCATAGCACCTAATATCATTGGCCAACAATTGTTTTTTTGAACAGATTATGCAAGTCTTTGGCTTTAAAGTAATAGATAATACAACGATCAGGGTTTTGAGATTTTTTTTGGTGTGTGTGGGGAGTGTCCAAGATCACTCTGAATTCTACACATGACTTTTTCACTATACAACCATCTGGTAAATCAAAGACAAGTCAAATCAAGTCATATTTGTAAACTATTTTAAAGCTGATCACTGCTTGGAAGTATCCCTCAAATACAAGTTGACCTTTGTTCTGATAGCTTTTTAGATATTAGATGGCTCTTAGGAAGATTCTGTTTTTAAGAAATGCAATCAAATTTTAAAATGTGAAAAGAAAAGCCTTACCAAATAATTGATGACATAAAATCGGTCGTATTCTCTGTTCTTAGGATTGATTCTACGATGTTGTTTTTTCCTCATATGATCTTTCAGAGTATTTTTGTCGCGGAAGGTCTTTTCACAGTACAAGCACTGCAAGCTAAAAGAAACAGGCAAGCACAGACTGACTGAACAAGCTGCAACAATCTTGTATTACATTGAGTCATTTTGACTCAATACTGAATCTTCAAATGGGATACAACATCCTTTCAGAGTTCCTCCCATTTTATTCATTTGGTTTTATAGGATGCATGCTGTGGATTTATTTTGTAGTTGATTAATTTGGTCAACTTGACTGATTAAAAACATGACAGCAACTATTTAAAGATAACTTTTAACAATGCAAACGACCTATTCTAATAATGAAAATGTACATGTCTTCTTCAAATAATTACAATGATAACTAGACTGATTTCATTTAGCATAATGAATCCGTGGTATAACTCACATATCTTGTAAATTGAATTACAGGGTTTGAGCCCTACCTAGTATTTGCTAGCTAGCTGAGAAACTTCCTGTCATTTACTTGCCCTCTCTGCTATCATTCATTTTCTTATCTCTAAACAGCAAGATGTTTTCTACACTTAGAGGATTTTATTATAAGTTGTATATATATATATCTATGAATAAAGTGTACAAATGTATATAATATTAGGTATGTATAAAATACATGTACCATAAAGTATGTATTTATAAATATAGTTCATAGTATATAGTAAAAGATTTATAAATGGTACATTATTGCTATTTTTTATTATTATCATCTTATATTCTTTTTTTTTCATCTTATATTCTTATGTGCCTTCTGCTCAAATAATTCCACTCATTGGGAATTCATGACCTCAGGAGGCAGTAATTATCGGTTTTAAACTGATTGCTAACAAAAAATCTTTCTCAAACTAAACTTGACAGTTTCTACTGCCTGTAATTAGACTTCTACTTTCTGGAATTGGGCAAAATGAATTTAACTCTCCTGGCAAGCTACCCGTGGCGTATTCAAAATGCCAAAAACAGTAACAACAAGTCTCACAATGGAGATGCTACTTGTGCCCGCTTGAGCAAATCAATGAACAAGGGATGACAGTGCTACAGTGACAGTGCTACATTTGCAAAAACTTGCTAACAATTGAATTAACTGTTATTTCAATTTTGGCATTTTTTCATCTCTACTAAATATTGTTTCAACTATTTCTTCTTCTTCTTTTTTTTTTAATGTAGGAGTACTGCTATTTACTCAGACATTGATTAAGCTGATTGAATTGGGCATACACACCAGATTACTTTTTTTTTTGTTAAATATGTACATTTACTAGTAAAGGTATATTACAGAAAGACTGAGAAAAGTATATCTTATAATTGTTCAATAACATACTTCTAAGAAATTAAATGAAATAATGAACCTGTCTTTAGTTACTAAAAGCCACATTTGACTAGCTACAACTAGTACTACTAGCCAGTTGTGCCTGTGAGTTATAACTCAGAGTGTATCTTTACACACTGGGCTTAAAAGACTCATGGCTGTTGTTTTAATATTGCACTTTTTAAACCCAGCTATCACATCATATCACAAGCCTTTCATCAAGGCTAGGACACAGATAGCTCGGCTAGTATCAAGTGCTACAGATTACTTTTTTTAAATTCAGAATATTAACCTAATTTTTTAAATTGAATCACTGTGAGATATGGTCACAAAACTTTTCTGTTTAAGTTTCAGTCATACAAAGATTTAACACCCAACCCTCCACCAATGCACATCTTCCACCACCAATGTCCCCAGTATCCTTCCCATCCACTCCTCCCCTTGCCTCTACGGCAGACAATCTCCCCCATATTCTCTTTTGTATTGCTTGTTATGAATAGCATAAGATGTTGCGGAGCTGTGAGAACAGCCACGTGCTCTTGGAATTCTAAAATTTTAGATAACTAGGGTCTGGAGAAATCTCTACAGCAAGCTGCTCAGTTTGGAGATTCTTTTGTGTGTCTCTGGATCGTGGGGTGGCCATTAAGGAACTTAAGTAGCAGTCAGAGGCAGTCTGTGGGTGTGACCTCCAGGGTTGCATGGGGGGTGGGGGGGTATGAGAGGGCTAGACCATCCACTGTTCCTGAGGCCTGGAGTTTGCTGTCACTGAATCTGCTTACCGGCACCTCTCATTGGGTTCTGGAAGTAGGCGGCCACTGGGGTTTTCAGGGGACTTCAACTATTTCTTATGTCATTGAAATAGCTACATTATTTTATAGTAATAATTTATAAGTGACAAGTTGATTAGGTACATTCATTACTACTATTCTTATTATAAAGCACATTTGATCTTATTTTATAGGGTGAAGAGGGATGCTTTAAAACAGTGTTGAGGCTTTCATTATCTGTATTGTAAACCACAATGTCCAAAAGGAGAGCGGGGGGGGGGAGAGAGAGAGAGAGAGAGAGAGAGAGAGAGAGAGAAGGAAGAAGGGAGGGAGGGAAGGAGAAGGAGAGGGAGAGAGAGAAGGAGAGAGAAGAGAGAGAAAGAGGAAGGGAGGGAAGGAGAGGGAGAGAGAGAAGAAGAGAGAGGAAGAGAAGAAGAGGAAGATGGGGTGGGGGTGATGGGGACATTGGTGCTGGGAAATATGCACTGGTGGAAGGATGGGTGTTGGAACACTGTAAGACTGAAACCTAATCATGAACAGCTTTGTAAGGTTCTATCTCACAGTGACTCCATTAAAAATAAATAAATACATACATACATACATAAATAAAAATAGTGTTGAGAGTGTGAAACAGTAGTACAGCAGGTAGAATACTTGCCTTGCATGAGCCAACTTAGGTTCAATTTATCACTCCATATGGTCTCCCAAGCCCCACCAGGAGAGAGTGATCACTGAGTACAGTCATATAAGCCCTGACATGGCTGGATGTGGCCCCCAAATAAAAACAAACAAAACTAGTGAGGATAGCAGAATTTGAATCCAGAACTTTTAACAATTGATATTTATTTTTTTAGTGTCATTTCCCAAAAGGTTGTGGAGATACTGTGCTTTCCGGTATTATAGTTAAACGAAGAGAACTGGGTCTTGGAAAATCTTATCTGAAAGATAAGTGGATATGGGGGCTGGAGCAATAGCACGGCGGGTAGGGCGTTTGCCTTGCACGCGGCCAACCCGGGTTCGATTCCCAGCATCCCATATGGCCCCCTGAGCACTGCCAGGGGTAATTCCTGAGTGCAGAGCCAGAAGAAACCTCTGTGCATCGCCAGGTGTGACCCAAAAAGCCAAAAAAAAAAAAAAAGAAAGATAAGTGGATAGATTTTCAAAGTCAGTTTGATAGCTAGAGAAGTAGAAATATGCAGGCACAGGGTGGTGTAAGGGTGGGGCAAAGCAATAGTCCAATGCTTAGGGCATTTGCCTTGTACCTGGAGGACCTGGTTAAAACCCTGGTGCTCCAAATGGTCTCCTGTGCGTGCTGTGCTAGGAGTGATCCCTGAATGCAGAGTCAGCCACAGCATGCACGGGAGACCATTTGGGCACCAGGGATTGAACTAGGTCCCCCAGGTACAAGGCAAATCCTTGTAGAAGGCCACACCCTGATCAAAGCAGGGTGTAGCCTCCAAAAGTGAAAAAAAAAAGAAAGAAAAATAAGAAAGAAGTACGCCAGTACTGTGACTAAGTATGTGACACCATCACCCCCACATTACAACAAACAACAAACATTGAAAAGGTAAGGAAAAAAACTAAAAGGCAGGAGAATGCATATAGTATACAGTATACTATGTCTAATTAAATTTATAGAAAAATCATATTGAAAGTAACAAAATTTAAAAATCCAAAATAAAAACTAGTGGTTTCTGGGCATGCAGAAGCATTCAGAGGAATTAATAATGTTCAGTCTACTTCTTATGCTAAACAGTGAGTATATTCTCCAGACCCTAAATAACATACCCGCTATGGTGTGTTATTTGGCACATTTGACATTTTTTTAATTAGAAAAACAAAAGAAAATATAACACAGGCAAAATGAGCCCTGGCATAAAAAAATGAGAGCTCTGATATGAGAGAAGGGAGAAAATTCCATTTTGAATTATTTCTAAATCTTAAATTAACTTTTCAAACTTCACAACAAAGGTCAAGATTAACATAGCTTCAGATCATATTTCATTAAAAAAGGACTTACTTGTCAAGCTTCTTCTGTAATGTACATAAAAATTCACCGCAGTTCACAATGTTGTCTGGCAACCCAATGTTGAAAGCATGTTCTCTGGCCATGTGGTTCAAAAGAACAGATCTAGAAAGAAATTTGAGCCATTTGCATTATTTGTAAACCATTCAGGAACAAGTGAGTTCAGGAACAGCACTTGTAGAATACAGTAACAAGGAGTAGAAATATAAGCATGTTAAACACTGAGATGCATTTTTGGACTATGAAAAGAACATTATCAAATATGTAGCTACAAATATAATCACATCAGTTCTTTTTGGGCCACACATGGCTGGGTGCAGGGCTTACTTCTCGCTCTGAGCTCAAGGACCAGTCCTGGTGATATTAGGGGACTATTTGTGGTACCAGGGGTCAAACGGGGTAACTGTGTTCAAGGCAAGCGCCTTAAATCTTGAACTATCATTCGTTTTTTTTTTTTAAATTATCATTCTTTAAAAAAATTGTTTTTCCTTTGATTTTGTTTTTGTGCCATACCTGGTAGAATAGCTCAGAGGTTATTTGTTATTCCTGGTTCTGTGCTCAGAAGTTCCCTTGGTATGTTTAGGGACCAATGTACATGGTCTTATCTATCAGTCAAGTAAGTAAGTTACTATAGCAAATATAAACTTGTTTTTCAGTTAAACACTATATTTCCTTACTTCACTTAGAGTAGCTATAGTCTATCTTTGAGGTAGGCATACTAAAAAAAAAAAGGCACTCCTAATATATTGAAGGGCCTTGTGGCAACCCATAGAAATTAACTTATACAATCATTATGGGTAGTTTGCTGAGTTTTTAGATGAAAAAGAGAAATATTTGAAGATTATATCGGCCAACCTGTTTCCTATGAATTCTGCATTGCAAAACATACAGATGCCATGAAAACTGTTATCATTTCTTTCTTGCTGCTGTTGTTCCAGAATTTCTTTCTGTAATGTAGAAACAGATGTATAATATTATCTTTGATAAATGTATAACCATCTAAAGAAAAATGTCATAATCTGGATGTAAGAAAATTTTGGTAGAAGCAAAAAGGGAATATATGAATGCAGACATTATTTCAAATTTCTGTATTACAATTCTTGCATCAAAACTTCAAGTCAACAGTCATCATTCTCACCCTCATCCCTGAATTTAATTACATTTCTATGATCCTTACCCTCCAAAAAAAAAGTGGTGGTATTACTGACTTCCTTCTTTCTGATTTTCAGTTTATTTTGCAATTAAGTTCTGATTAATTTTTCACTTGTCCTATCTTTTATACTGGTTTATGCTACCATTTCCAGTGTCAACACCCTGAGTTGTTAATCCATAATTATGGGATTATTAAAAAAATAAATTTCCTAAAGAGTCTTCTTGATTTTAATTCTTTTGCCATCAAACTTATCTTCTATTTGGCTACTAGAAAATTAGGCACTGATGATGTAGTCAATAGCAGAGTACTTGCCTTGTATGTGTGAGGCCCTAGGTTTGGCTCTCAGCATTACCAAAAAACAATAACAAAGACAAAATCAAACCCCCAAGACTGCCTTTCAAACTTAATTATTGTATCACTCTCTAACGCAAGTAATTTTATTGTTGTTGTGTTTTGGCCACATACTCGATACTCAGGGCTTATTCCTGGCTCTGTACTCAGGGATCACTCCTGGCAATGCCTGGGGAATGATAAGCATTTCAAATAGAAATTGAAAGTAATACCTGCTTTCATATATTCCCGTTTTGCTTCAACCCAATAGGGTTGGTGCCATACAAAATGGGCAACTTAACACACCTGTATTATCTCTTTAATGCCAGTTTTCCATAATTTTTAAGACAAAAATTAAAGTATTGCCTCACATCACTTTTTGCCGAATTAAATCAAATAATTTAGTCAGAGTTCAAGTTGTGCAGGGGTCATTAAGTATTAAATATCATTGTTATCCATTCTACACTAGTCTTACTACCATCTCTTTGCTAATTATTGTCTGTCTTGCTTTCTGAAGGGAAATGAAGAGTCTCTGAATTTAAGAAAGCTCTGCAATTCTTATATAAGTATACATCTGCAAACTATCCATTTTCTCTTTAAACATGAAATTCCAAATAGGAAATTTACATTTTGTATGTTTTCTGGTGTTGAATTCTTGTAAGAAAAAAATATATATCACTAGTTTTTTTGCTGGGTGGTATTTTCCAAATTGCAACATAGGATTAGTTAAACTCAAGAAAGTGCAGCTTACCTCACTGAGTAGAGAGGAAAAACATGGAATTCAGAATACTAAAATGAATGGAATTTGTGGGGAAGGATATCAGAGAAAAAAGAAATGCAGATAAGGAGCTTGGGAAGCTTTGAGGTTATTTAAACCTCATCCTTGGAATCTTGGCCCAAATGTGAGCAATTGCAAAAATCTCTAAAAACTGACAGAGAAGTTTCTAGGTCTGTAAGGTAGTGTACATAAGTTATAGCACTGGAAAAGGCTAGTTTTTCAATAGGCAGAATAAAAAGACCTTGCTTACAGCAAATATAAAAAAAAAAACCCAACACTTTTTTATTCATGAAGGTTAAGGCTTTATGCTGATGGTAAGTGGACAGATAAAAGCAAGAGAATGAAAGGGGGAAGGTTAATGTATCAGACAATTTTAATTACTGTTTTTTAAGCGGAAACAAACCTTACATAAGAATGGACACTGACAGCTCAAAGTCAAATAAAAGAGGTACTAGAAAAGGAAAACGAAACTTTTTAGGATTCCACAAAAACCAAAAGAAGCTACACATTTCAGTAACCTAGATAGACACCTTTGTTAGCAGTAAAATAAAAAATATGGCAGTTTAAGCTCTTGATAAAGATCATAATTTCTGCTTTTGCAGTGTGAACTCTCTCTCCCTGCTCCTGTTTTCAGCCCACAGGATTCATTAGAAGTCATCAAAACCATCATTCTGGCTCATTTTTTCTCAATCTCATGAAGACAGAGCTCAAATTTGGCTAAGTAAAAATCTCAACCTTCTTATCATTTCTTTAGTTTGCACTCAGAAAAACAAAAGATTTGTGAGGCCAAGGCAGAGTGATACCAAGTCATCTAAGGTTTTCTTTGGCAAAATTTAAGTTTGATCAGTGGGCCCTGAGTCATGTGACCTGACTGCTGAGAGCTGAAGGTGTGTGTGCGCTCTAGGAAACACATTTAGGAGATGAGAGGCAACGCGTGAGAGAAGGGATCATAAAGCAAGAAGTCACCTCAGAGGTAGGGAGCTAAAACCATGTGACTGTGTGCCTGGTTCTGCAGCTCCTCTCCTGCGGAAACAGCAGGGTCCTGCACCTTCTCAGCCAATCTGTCTGCTCTGCAGGAATAGAGGCCAGGACTCAGAAGTACCCATGAAGTACTCCTTGCCCCTTCTTCTAGTGGTCCAGAAGAGGGTTCGGTGGCTTCATGTGCCCAAATGTGAATGGACCAGCAAGTGTAGGACATTGAGTGTGAACCCCAATGCTGGGGCTGCAGAGACAGTATTGAAGGTAAGCAGCTTGCTCTGACACCCCTTGAGCCTAGTTTGAATGCCTGGCTCCACATTGGTTTGCCCGGCACGGCCAGGGGCTCACTCCTGAGTGCAGAACTGGAGTAGCACTAAGCACCTAAGCAGCACTGTGCGTGGTCACCCATAAGCCAGGATGAAGCTATTCTGCCAGCCCCATACTTTGGGATCTCCAGGCCAGGAAGACAGCTCAGAAAATTCAAGAAACCGGGGCAAGAACGAGGATTTTTTTGCCTTGGCTGGAGATATCACAGACAGCATCTCTCTAGCCAAGGCAAAAAATGAAGAGCTTCCCCAGGTCTCTGGGTTAGGATCAGAAAGGCCTGTAGGGGCTCTGGTTTCTATATACCTATTCAAATGCCCTAAAATAGAAGACTGGTTAAAGAAACTTTGGTACCTCTACACAATGGAATACTATGCAGCTGTCAGGAGAGATGAAGTCATGAACTTTGCTTATAAATGGATAGACATGGAGAGTATCGTGCTAAGTGAAGTAAGTCAGGAAGAGAGGGACAGACATAGAAGGACTGCACTCATTTGTGGAGTATAAAACAACATAACATGAGTTTGACACTTAAGGATAGTAGATACACCGGACAGATAGATTGCTCCATCGCTGGAAGCCTGCCTCATGAGCAAGGGGGAGAAGGCAGCTGGAGTAGAGAAAGAATCACTAAGAAAAGATGGCTGGAGGAATCGGTTGGGATGGGAGATATGTGCAGAAAGTAGATAAAGGACCAAACATGATAACCTCTCAATGTCTGTATTGCAAGCCATAATGTCCAGAAGTAGAGAGAAATTATGGGGAACCATGTCTGCCATGGAGGCAGGGGGAGGGTGGGAAAGGGGCGGTATATTGGGGATATTGGTGGTGGGGAATGTGCACTGGTGGAGGGATGGATGTTTGATCATTGTGTGACTGTAACCCAAAGATGAAAGCTTGTAACTATCTCACGGTGATTCAATAAAATTAAAAAAAAAAAAACCCCAAAACAAACAAACAAAAAAAACCAAAACAAAATAGAGCCCACCAGACAATAGGATTGTTGAAGGGGGAGCATTTTAATCCATGTTTTACGTCCCAGCATGCCTCCCAGATAGGGGGACAGATGTCTGTTGGATGGAGGAGCTCTTTCCTCTGATCTTCGAATAGGCAGGGAAGGTGGAGGGACCCACACCTGCGCGTGACGCCCAGCTCCCCGGGCTGCTGCCTTGCTCCAATCTGAGGAAACAGCCCAGCCAGAGTCATTCTGTGCTTCCTTCTGCAGCACTCATGTTGGTGGCTGCTAATTGGGTGAAACAGAAATATAAAATATGCTCAGGTACTCTGCGGGGTACTGCTAACCAGCAAAGCAAAGCAGGGCTTGGTAGGCAGCCGGGTCATGCCCAGGAGGAAACCCCGAGTCTCTGCATGTCTCACCCAGACTCCATTTCTCTGAGCTCTCCTTGGGGCCTCTCATCAGGACAGCAGCTCTGAGCTTTGGGGTCCTGTGGAGGCCAAGTAGCTGAAGTCAGGCTCCAGTTCCCCAAACCTCTGTGGCCAGGCTGCTCTGTGGCTCCAAGCGCAGACCCACTAATCACATTGTTGGTCCCCTTGGAAGGCACTTCCCATCCTGAATTATTCATTAGCATAAACTATCAAGTATAATCAAAGGCCCACCCAGAATAACAAAGACATTCCATTCACTCAAGAAAGATCAAGAACTTAAAGGCAGCCTCCTGGGAAGAGGGGGCAGAGCCAGCCAAATACTTTATTATGAAATAACCCTGTCTGGTTTGTTTCCCTCTTTTTAAGAAAGCTAACAGCCAAATTTGAAAAACATTGTTCTGAATTAGAGACAGAGAGACAGACACAGAGAGTACACATAGGTGCACATATCTTTTTTAACTTTTCATCTTCAACTTATATCCCCATCTCACCCTGCTTTTTAAAATTTGTCTTCTTTTACTTGAATTGTTTGCTTCATTTTTATTGCTAGCACCATGAAATACTTATTACAACAGGTGGGAGGTATATGTGAAATATTGTCAGTGCCTCAGAGATAATCTGCACTTCTGAAAATAATATGCAGATTCTCCTGCATCCCTAATGGAAGCTCTGGGCCCCAGTTCTGATTTGGGGCAGAGGGAGGGGGTGCACACTCTCGACTGGAGAGGTACCACTGGGTGTGGAAACAGAATTCCTAATTATGTTCTGCCTCTGGGGCTTGATTGGGAAGAAACCTAGGAGTGGGTAGTTTTCTCTCATAGCCGTGCATAGAATCACTCAACCAGGGAACTCTTCTAAGTTTGGTATGACAGTATCTTTAAAATGATTTTGAGGCCCTGGGAGATAGTCCAAGGAGGAAAGGTGCTTGCCCTGCCTAGATGTGGCCCAGAAAACAAACAGACCAAAAAAAAAAAAGATTTAGATACCCCTTCAACTTG